CTATTATTCGAACTGTTGCACGAGGACTCGAGCGCCTGTATAATGGTTTTGTATATCTTCTCGTTTGGCTTCCATTCCATGTACGAATTGTTATTATCGAAACAGCTGTTATGCATTTTCTTGCATTCACATGTACGTTGATTCGCGATGGAGTTGCGGCCGGGGGAATTGAGAGCGGTGGTAAGAACTTATATATATATTCACCACGTTGTACGTATATGCTTTTACATATATTTACGCACGGTTATATATATAAACACACGCATATCCGCTTATATGCGCATGGTATGTACACACCTATACACGCACTTTTACACGTACGCGCATATTTTTTTTTTTAACAAATGGGGTCATAACACAGAACAAACGTATGAAGGGTGGAGAAGTGGGCACGCAAAAATGTAAGGAAGCACAGAGCAAAAAATGTAAAGACGTAAAAGTGTAAAGACGTAAAAGTGTAAAGACGTAAAAGTGTAAAGACGTAAAAGTGTAAAGACGTAAAAGTGTAAAGACGTAAAAGTGTAAAGACGTAAACATGTAATGACGTAAACATGTAATGACGTAAAAATGTAAAGACGTAAAAATGCAAAAATGTAAAAACGCAAAGACGAAAAACTTGTAAATTTTCACAATATTTAAAAAATAACACAGCAGCATGCACACATGAATGGGCAAACCACGGACATACAAGTGGGAAAATTAATTAAATTAACAATCTAATTACAAGTGTGTACATATATATATATATATATATATATATATGTAGAAGCACACATGTACGCATACACATATAGGCACACGCATGTACATTTTCAGGCATAAATTTGGGCATACATTAAATGGGTACACATATGTATGCCTATAAATGGCTGCAAGTCCAACAAATGGGGTCATAACACAGAACAAACGTATGAAGGGTGGAGAAGTGGGCACGCAAAAATGTAAGGAAGCACAGAGCAAAAAATGTAAAGACGTAAAAGTGTAAAGACGTAAAAGTGTAAAGACGTAAAAGTGTAAAGACGTAAAAGTGTAAAGACGTAAAAGTGTAAAGACGTAAACATGTAATGACGTAAACATGTAATGACGTAAAAATGTAAAGACGTAAAAATGCAAAAATGTAAAAACGCAAAGACGAAAAACTTGTAAATTTTCACAATATTTAAAAAATAACACAGCAGCATGCACACATGAATGGGCAAACCACGGACATACAAGTGGGAAAATTAATTAAATTAACAATCTAATTACAAGTGTGTACATATATATATATATATATATATATGTAGAAGCACACATGTACGCATACACATATAGGCACACGCATGTACATTTTCAGGCATAAATTTGGGCATACATTAAATGGGTACACATATGTATGCCTATAAATGGCTGCAAGTCCTTTTAATTTTGTTTATGTTGTGGGCCAAACAGACGCAAGGGGGAGGGAGGAATACAAATTTCAAAATTAAATCTAAAAAAATATGAAACGCAATGGGCACATGGGGAAAATCGCAGAATAAAAAAAACGAAACATGAATGGTACAAATGAAGGGCACAAAACAGGGGAAACAAAATATTAGGCACAAAACAGAGGGTATAAAATGCAAGTCGCAGAATATACGGCGCAGAATTTGCGGCGCGCAATGAAAGGAGCAAAGCACAGAGCAAGCCGAGGGACTCGTCACATGAATTTATGTACGGAATGCATTTCTACGCAAGGCGCTCAGCGTGCAATGGTGGGGGGATACACGCTACGCAAATACACGTTGCACATACTCACTCGCATACGCACATGTGCGTTCGCTTGCTTGTCACTGGCTCGGGCATACGCGTGTGGCCCACTATAAAAGGAATGGCACATGAACTACTTCGCTGCTGTGCGGGGGAAAGTCAAGCGTAACACTATTACGCATATGGGCTATGCATAAATGCTACATATAAAAAAATATCTGTCACACGTACATGGATGCATATATTGGCGTGTACAAATAAACATTTCTGCATATAATTTCTATAAGATTATGAAAATTTTAATTAAAACTTGAAATTGTGAAAAAAAAAAAAATGAAAAAAATTTTAAAATAATAAAAAAAAAAATTAAATAAGAAAAACACACGCACAAGGAGGGGTGGGGGGAGGGACGTGATATGTAAATGTAGCAAATATAAATACTGCATATACATAATAATTATGTAATCAAATTAATTTACAATAATGGAAGAGGCGCTTGCAATAAATATCGATGAAAAATCAACACTAAAATTTGAAAATGTATAATTATATGCGCGGCGGGGAAGGAAGTTACATAAGCGCATTATGCACATATATAGTGTTTATATAAATGTGATAATATATATTTGCATAGCCTGCGTGCGCACTTATATCACATGAGCACAAGTGTACACTTAAGAAAGCAGGTGTTTACACGTATACAACGTACATTAACCATACGACGCATACGTGACGAATGCCATCATACCATGCATACGTGCGCTCGTTGTATGCAGGTATGGGGAAGTTGCTATTCGCTGACTTGGCGTTCAAACAGAAGCAAGGGGTGAAAAAGTTCTGACATGTTATTTAAGCAGTGTATGCTTATTTTGGAATGCGTGCTGCTATACGCGTACAGCTCATACGTATACATCCTGTACGACGTACTTATATATACTACGCATATATGTATAATATATGCCTTACTCTGGCGCATTTAAAGGGGGAAAAAAAAAGGTACGGCTGACGTTTCCCTAAATTCAAAACCTTTGCTAAAATAAAACAAAATTACGCGTTTTATTTGCCGGCTAGGGAAAAACACTCACACAATTTTAATGCATTTAAATTTGCTAAATGGCACTCTCGTTATGCTCACTACATATAATATACTTTATATATGTTTGGGATGTTACGTGTAGGTTAAACTGCCAAATGAGCAAAAATGCTAAAATGGCGAAATGTGCTCGGTAGGCCAGGGATTTGTGGAATATTTTTTAATTTGCGCAATTCGTTCGCTGCTTTAATTTTTTCCTTTTATAGAGCCCAATCCACTTTTGCATTCATAAGTCGTGAAAAAAATGTTCATATGGAAAAATAAACGCATAAAAAAAGTATATGCATGTTATACGTATGTTATTATATATATATGTATAATGTACAAAAATATTACTTTATGCCCATTTTGCACTGTTATATATGCATATACCTTACTCTAACGTCGTGGAAATAAACAGTGATGCACGGTAAGGTGAAAAAAAGGGAAAGCTTGCTTTGCTTTAAAAGGAGCTCTCACAAACATATATATATTTTTCTAAGCACTATACATATATATAGCATTGCGTTCTCTACCCTAATGATAAAATTAAAAAATTGGATAAAGAATTTGCTTGAAGGGAAGCGGCATGGCAATGCCATTACATATACTAATTTATAATATATGATACTGTATATACCGCCGCGCATGTGATATAGGGTGCCCACTGGGAATTATATACCAATTGGGGTTTAGGGGGGCGAAAACAAACAGGGGGGTGCGGCATTTTGCATTTTAGTTCGGATGGCCATGCCAAGGTGTTCTTCGCGTGGCACCCTAGGTGCATATAAAATACGCTGTTGGTGAACGAACTATGTTACGCATACGCATTAGTCGAGCAGCCCTGTAATTTGCTTGATCTACCTGTACCGCGCAGTTTCCACAAAAAGGCAATATATATATATATAGCATGCTAACATTACAAACATTCTAACGCGCCAACATTCTAAATAGCAATATGGTTAGTAACAAATGGATTACCCACGTTCTCATTTGCATAATTATATTGATCAAATTTCCTTGGCGTGTTAGAGTCATGAACACAATAACGGCTTCTTTGAAAGAATAAAAAGCTATATATGGGAGTAAAACTATGCCTTCTTTCTAAATAAAAGAAAAATACCCTGCACATTGCATTCCTTTCTGGAGCATAATTTAAGAACAACCTTATGTGGAAAGATGCGGGGAAAATAAAAGTTCGTTTTGTATATAGTAATTTCCTTTCCTTGACTTTAGGACAAATGGGGGCCACTTTATGTAGGGCGAGGCGAACTTTTTTACTGCAAAGAGGCGAATAGACGTTCCTAGAATCACCTTGGCGTCTACTAAGAGTTGACAAAAAGAAAAAGTCCTTGTATGACTCTCCTAAGAAAAGAATGATGACATGATTATATATTTCTTTCTGGTCATTGTACATTGTTACAAAGGCAAATTGGCAACAATCGTAATAACGGTTACACTTTTATAGGCGTTCCTTTTTTATTCGTTTGTGCTTGGGTACGTAGAAATGATGCAAATGACTGTGGATGGGGGGAGCAATGCGCATATATGTCTATACATATGTTATACCTATACGCCTTGCGCCCCCCAATGAACCAATGTATATTAAAATACCCTCTAGTTAATAGAGTTTTCCACTACATATTTCCCGCACACATTTTAAGGCACAAATGTTGTCAGAAGCAGAGCGGCTTAAAATTATTAAGACCGCATTACTGTGAGGGGAAACCAAATTGTAACTCTCCTATTTTACGATCCGTTTTTTTTTTTTTTTTTTTGCAAAAGTGCTAACCGCGTCTGAGGAAATTCACTGCGCAGTGTCGTAATTTTGTACACCCGCTCACTTAGAATAGAACTCCTCACGGCATCAGTTGTGTCATTATTCCCCAATTATTATTATTACGACGCGTATATGTTTTATCTCATGCGTTCATATGGCACACTTCAAAATGTGCAGTATGCGCACCTAGATTGAAGTTACCCATATTGTTACTACATTTTGGTGGGTGGGGGAAAAAATTACAAAAAAAATAACACATCAATGTGAGCTAATTGTGCACAGGCAAACGGTAAGGCACAATGATAAATAAGTGGTAAAAAAAAAAAAAAAAAAAAAACAGAAGGGGAGGGAGTGCTAACTGAACCGTCCTCAACCCCCTTCAACGGGAAAGGAACAATTTTCGAGCAATAATTGCACCTAAAGGAAAGCATCGTCCGCCAACATTTTAAGGGCATTGGTCAAGGTCGATGACATTATTTGATTTAGTTTTAAAAAGTTCAGCTGGTCTTCATTCTCATAATTTTTTTCTACTTTCGTGCCGTGTGTGTCATCTGGGGGTATCTTATTGTCCGCAGATACGTTTGCCGTACTGGCGAGCTTTTTGAGCTCTTCGTTTTTTTTCACGAGTTTTGTTTTCGAGGGTTCCTTTAAGGGTGCTTTTTCGGGCATCCTTTGCGTTTCCCTTGGCCACATCTCGTCTTTGTCCGCAGCGGGTGGTGAAGACACATGAGACCTCCTTAGTTTGTGCTCCTCACCGCGAAATGCACTCTCAGACATGTCATTTGAGTCGCACGACATTTGTGTGTCTTCATAGGGGGTATCTGTTTCAGTGTGTGTGTTGCTATTTGGACGGTCGTCCTCAAATGTGTTCATCTGCGAGTCATTTGGTTTAGTCTCTCCCTTGACGTCGTCCACTTTGTCTTCCTTAATCTGCTCCACGTCATCCTCGTTAACGTCTTCCTTAACACCTTTCCTAATGGACTCCTCCTTCTGTTCGGCACGCCAATGGCCCCCCTCGTGCATATAGTAGGTCATCACCTTCTCGGGTAGGGAATACATGGGCTTCATATTTCTGATAATGTCCCTGTTGCTATTTTGGGTCCTGTATTTGTACGATTTGTCAATGTTCTTATCAAAATGGACTTTTACGTGCACATTTTTTATCAAATTGGTTGCTGACGGCAGCTGCAAAATGGGCGGGTCAATCTTTGCATTTTCGGGATTCATCATAGGGGCATTTACAAAACTAATACCACCTATACCATCAATGGCCCCCAGGGTGAAGGCCCTTTTTTTCTTTTGGGAAATATATTCATTGTACTTTCTTAAATCGGCATTTCTTTCATAGATATTTTGTTCCTCTTTAATTTGTTTATCGAATTGGCTTTCTAAAACCTGCTGCATGTAAAGGACCTTGTTGTCCTTTTTGTTTTTCACTTTTTCCTCTGCGCAACTTATTTCGTCGTCATTCATTTTGTGCGGATGACTTTTTTCTTCAGGTGCGTCCATTCTGTGTAAATGTCTTTCATTAGATATGTTCTTTTTTTTTTTTTTTTTTTTTGGGAAACACCTTTATTCCGGTATGTTCATCTTTTTTTTTTTTGTTTTTAAATTGGTAAACTTCCTCCCTTTTCGAAAGTCTTAAGTTCGCGTCTGCGCGTGTGCAGGCAAGCACAAAACCACCTACACAGATATACGTGCATATATATATATATATGCATACACACATATACCAATCCATAAGGCTCTTTTTTTTTCAGTGGAATAATTCCTGAGCTGCTGTGTCGTTATGACGGGGGTTTTCTTCACAGCTTTCTGACCTCCCCTTGTTCCTAAACCTACATTAATTTATTTACATCATGCGCATGTGTGCGACATATGTGTGTAAATTATTTCATGCACTATCTTCCAAATTGTTTTTTTATCACTCCTTTTTGTGCCCTAGTAGGAATTCATCCTCCTCTACAAAATACTTTGCGCACACTGGAAAGTGGGTCTACTGAAATGTGCTGCCCTGTATAGCGTCATTTTGTAAACATCGCATGTTACACGAGGGCAAAGCGCAAGGAAAAAATAGCGCTAGGTCAAATTGCACATCGTCAAAATGTGCTGAGTCCATGTGTACAGGTGTGCCAAAATGTTGCTCAAAATAATGCCATACTTTGTCAGAACGCATTCGTAAGAGAGAAAAAAAAAAAGGAAAATGTTGTCCCCGCGTGTGTGGTGTGTTCTCTTGTGTATCACTCTACATAATGAATAAACTTTAAGAGTAACATATAGGACTCTTTTTATTAAGCAAACTATAGAAAAAGGAAACGGAATGTCAACATGTGTCCTTTAAAGCAACTTGTAACATTGCCCATGTTGTTATTTTTTCTCCACTTTATCGCCGCAAATGTAAACGCGTTTGTTTTTTGTTTTTTTTGCATGTATTTTTCTTCTGGGTTATGCACTCCTATGAAGAAGGGTTCTTTATATCCTAATAGGTGAATCAACCAGGCAAAAATGCTTGTGCACATGCGCATGTATACAACATGAACACATGGTTATGGGGGTATGCCTGTTCAATTGGTAAGTGCTATACCTTAAGCTCCCTGAACTTTACTTTTTCTCATTGCACATAAGAAGGCACATTAACGTGCAAGGAAAAAAAAAAAAAAAAAAAAAAAAAAGGTGGTATTTGTAAAATATTATATAATAAGAAAACTCAACATCCCCTTTTTGATACAAATAAAAACAGCCATTTTATAATTCCTACGCGCAATAATTGTTCACTTCAACTTATTAGTATACTGATAGGCTCATCCCCCTATGTACATTGTTGCCAAGCAAAGCCGTGTACCTTCTTATATTGTATAAAATCACCATGAGCGGAAAAAAAACAGCCTTAGTTGTAGTGGTAAGAGATTGTCATTTGGTTCTGTGTCGATAAATGTGGGCTTGTAGAATGACTGTGTGCGTACCTACTTTTATTAGCACGCCCCTTCGTGCACATTTGGGATGATAGCCCTGACGAACTCGTCACCTTTTGTCAAAGATCCCCCCTCTTATTTCATCATGACTCACTTTTTTTTTTTTTTTTGACCATTGTTTGCTCCAAAGGCATCAGGATCGGAGGATGTGGAATATATTACAACAGTCGATGTGCTAAGGAGAGCTAGTAAGGAAAAAGTTCCACATGTGTGAGCTCGCCGCAACATCTATGTTTATTATGTGTTGCAAA